TGCTGCCAAGGACAGTGCACTCTCAAATTGGATCATTGAAGAGAAGTTTACAGTCACGTACTGCGATATCCTCAGTATCCTTAGTAAATGCTGGCACCTGCAAAGGCTGCAGGGCAAACTGTGAGAAACACACATTTTGCTTTCTATGACTCAGAGCCAGCAAGAGGCAAAACGTTGTGACATGTCTTAGGGCTGTTTGTTAGACATGGAGCAACCAGTACACGCACCACAGACAGTTGATAGAGGATTGAAGACCTGGTCCAAGCTCACTGTGACACACAAATGACTGCTACTACTCTAGACCAAGGGCACAACCCAAACTATGCCCAATGCTGCCGTGACAGCCATCCCTCCTCTTCCCCCGAAACAGCCAATGCCAACTGGCAACATGACCCTACTGTAAGTGCTGGACCAGCCCCAATGTCAGAACCCCTTAATTTGGGAAGTCGTGTCCAAGTGGGAAAGGCATGTCACTTTATCAGGCACCTTATTGACTTTTTTGCTTCCGTTTTCCTTCTGCGGTGTGACAAAGAGTGACATTTCAGCTTGGCTCAGTTTTCTACCTTGGAGATGTGTACCCTTTTGGGATGCCCTCGTGTGTCCCACCTGGCCTTCAGCTCCTGCACAGTGGCCATGGAGATCCTGGGGCACATCTGCCTACCCCATGAGGCTATCGCCTCCCCATGGACTTCTTATGAGAAGCCAGGATCTCCACAGGGACCATTTCCAGTCTGTGGGAGACCAGGAGCTCTTTCCATTAATTCTGCTTAATTAATCACTGATTAAAAAATCAGTTTAATCCCAGGCTTTTCCACAGAAATTGCAGGAGCCCAGTGAGTCACTGCCTTACACACACTGCTGTGGAAACAAATTCCATTGATAAACTGGCTGTGGTCGAACACTATAGAGACAAAGGCCCCAGTGTTATCTGGACAGATGTCCTCTGTTTGTGCAGTGGGTTTCTGGCTCCAGATTTTGTTCAAGGTAGAAACACACATAAAACATCAGAGTTTCCCCTGGTTTCTGTGAATTTCCTGCTCCTCCCCACCTTCCACAGTGGCCATCAGAGCCACAGGTCTGCATCTCTGTGCAGCTTCTCCAAGGGCACCATCGCCAGCTCCAGCCCACAGCGAGCATGCTGCCAGCTCAGGTGGAAAAACTTCAGGGTTTTTCTCCCCTGTTATTTAAATCAAAGCCCATAAACATTTTGCCATAGCTACAAAACATGATTTTACTGCTTTCAGTCCTCAACACCCTCTTTTGTTAGAACAAAGCAGGTGAGTAACAAAAGCGGAACAAGTTAGTCCACTTGATAAAGTAATCTGCAGATAAGACGCTGAAGGACTTGGATCAGTGCAGGGGGAAACGATCAGTACTATGTGATGAATAGTATCAGGAAATATCTCCTCGTGAAATGCTTTGTGGGTTTTCTGCAGTGGCATCTCTGTTCAGCCTCACACTTGAAAATTGAGTGCAGGCTCTAGAGGCAACTTGTTTTCTGGGAAGTTATAACATGTTCAGCTAATTATACAAGTTCCCGTGTCTTGGTTTCCCTTTGAGAGAGCAGCCTGGGCTGTAGTAGAAAGCAGAGGACTTTTAAGATGGATCTAATTAGAAGATCATCTCTATGAATCACCTGAGAAGGTAAACCTTATTATATCTCTGGGTATCTTCTTTCTTTTCTAAAATATAGGAGATGGTAACTATTGTGTTGGGTGGATTTGCAAGAGAGGGTGCAATTATTTTGCAACATTTATGAAAATGAGAAACTTACAGAAAAAGGAAAAACGATGTCATGTAAATCACCTATGTCCTGTGTTAAAGTGAGACTTTGCTATTTACCTCTAGGAATTTCTGCACTTTAGAGTTAATTTGAAACAGCGTTTTTCAGCCTGAATGCTGTGGAAAAGAGATTTTGTAGCAAACATGGGCTTCTGTAGCTCTCTGGTTCTTTATATATCAAAGATACTTATTGCCTCCTAGGAAACAGTTTGTATGAAAAATGATGAATGTGCCACATATCTCCCATTTTACCAACTGAAGGTAGATAGATACTTGAGAAATTGCTCACTGAAAAATTTACAGCAATTCTTTTTTCAATGAAACATTAAATGAACAAGGGGAACAGCCACATTACATGAGAACAACATTAATATTTTCCCCCATTTGTTATTTGATATTTCTTTGCTAGTATTCTGATTTTCTAGATATAGGTGTGGGATTTTTGGACTTCTAACTAGCTATTAAAGCCTGAGTAGCAGCATGGGCCTCATTTGCATGACCTGTCCTCTATAGGGTTTCTTACGTATATATTAACGGAGCATTTGGTCTCAACTACACGGTTGCACAAAGGGTGTTTTTGAAAACAGAGGCTTATCCACAGCATTTGAATATGGATGCTAGCTCATGACCAGTGCGAAAGATACGTGCAAAACTGTAGCAGATGCTGTTTAACCTCATCATAAACTTTGTTTAATGACCTTTTTTCCTTTCTATTATGTTTCTATTATCTGTTTTGTCATATTTGTCTCCCATGAAATGGGAGTTCTTTGTACAGATTAAGCGATTATACTATGTGCTGTGAGCATATGATGCATATACAAAACTATCAGAAATCTATTATTAAGTCATGTCACTGTCTCAAGCACTTGTGTCACATCTTATAACTTGGCAGTATTTCCATCTTGATCCATTTTGATCCATCGTGGTCTTGGGATCAGCCAGATCCATGGAAGCCTTGAGGTTGTCACAAGTGGATGATGGCTTCAAAATAGCAAAATAGTCTCTTTTGTAGAATGCTGGATGTACTGATGGACATGCTTAGGAAAATGCGGAGATACTTCCTTTTTCTTGCCACCCCCCCACCCCACCCCCCAAATCTACCAGACATTTATCCATTAGATTAAAAAAGCATGTAACAGTCTTTTTTAAAATGGATTTTGGGGTGCGGTGGGAAGATATTCTGAATCAGTGAGATGTCTTGCTTTCTAGCTATTCCTGCGTAGGAGCATAAGAGCAGCTATACTGGGTCAGCTCAAACGTCTAGACAGCACAGTTTTCTGGTTTGGTGTTTTTTTCCATCTGTTGTGACCCTAGAATATCTTGAAATTAATTTTCCTTTTTTAATTGTTCCTCAGAGTTCAGTTGACATTTTCTCAGACCTCATTTCTGAGTGGTAATAGCCAATTCATAGTCCATCACAGAATGCATAATGTCAGGATCATCTTTTTCTGCCTTACACTTATTGTTGCTGAATTTCATTAATTTCATGACCCAGTCCCTCAGTATCCTGAGATCTCTGTGCAAATCTTCACAGGCAGACTTTGCTTTTGTTGGTCTCAATCATTTTAATTTTTCCACAGTGTTGTATCACTAATCACTGCCTTTTCTACATCACTTGAGAACAGAGGGTAAGACACAGGCTTACACGCGTGCTCCTGCAGAGTGATGACATCTCTCTATTGGAAAAGCATAAAATTTCTTCCTACTTTTGCTTCCTGTTTTTTAACCAGGTCAGGACCCAGGTGAAGCGTCTCTGTGGATGAAAATCTCTAAGGACCACCTTTGGTGAGAAACCCTGACAAATCCCTGCTGGATACCCACATCGGTGACATCAAATATATTGATTGGCTATAGGCTGATTTCTGTCCTATATCTATTCACAAGGTGAGACCACAGACCATGTTCATGTCATGGGCTTTTTTGAGCAGGAAAGTCACAGCGAAGCGCCCCGTCTACTCGGGAGCTCCAGCTCTGATAAGCAGTGTGGTGGCAACAGGCAGCCACTGCCAATGTTCATTGCCATCTTAGGATTTTTCTGCTTTCACCTGGTGAACCCCAGCCTTTCAAAGCCTGAGGCCCTAGCTGGCTTGTATGAACAGCGTTTTCAATACGAAAAGATAATAATTTTACAAAAGCTCATGATTTTAATAGAACTGATGTTGTCCACTCAGGTACCGTTCAGTGTTGTTCTTAAGAGTTCTCTGTGCTTTCCTTTCTTAAAATGATTTTCACAGTCTGCTTGAGTTCTGCCTTTTCCCATAGCTCTCTACTAGCTGTTAACTCTGGAGGTAAGGAAGTGCTTTGTTACGAATAATCAGAACATGTATATTCACAGCAAAATACACATTTTTATGTATTCTTCCCTTTCTCTATTCCCTCTGGTTGCATAAAATATGTCCGCACCAGCTATAAGCGTCCATGCATGTTTTGCCTTTCATCATCCTAGCTACTGCATGAGTAAATTATCTTAGGTATTAATGAGCTGGAAAAGGTTGGTGTTTGTGGGTTTTGGTTTAATTATATTCCGATGTGTCAGTGTTCTTGTGTTCTAGGTTATTTACTTGTTAACATCCGTGCAATTAATGGAGATGCATACTAAAACCTCAAAATTACATATTTTTTTTTTTTTTCCAGAGGATATCCCTCTTAATCGTTTCCCTTGTTAGCCAAGGGATAACAAACATAGCAAAATCTCCAGCTGAGCCCATGATGTTACCACAGCCCTCTCCAGAGCGGGACATGGCTGGTGGCAGAGCTCTCCCTACCCTCACACAGCAACACTTCTAACTCTTCCCTCATGTTCCGGCTGTGTGTTTGCCAAGTATCCCTGTGAGACGTACTTGAAGATCCAAAGACAACTTTTCTCACGGCAGATTAATTTCTTGCACCTCACTTGTCCCTGTTGGGAATCTGCTTGGGACTTTGCTTTCTCCAACCCATTGCTTTCTCTCTCCATTTTGAGTAGGTACGTCTGACGTGAAAAAAAAAAAAAGGAGATATGAGGGAAACAGTCTGGTGACAGTGGCAGAAGAATAATTACAGACCTTGTTCCGTGCTTTGTCTTGGATGGAGTGAACGGGCAGAGTGTGCTGAAAAAGTCTGAACATACTGTTTTTGTAGAGCGTGCTGGTATTTCCTACTCTGTGAGTCAGCTGAAAATTCCCTGATCCTTTTGCTTCTTTTTCCTCTCAGGCTTTACAGCAAGGTCACTGGACAAAATGCCGTCCCCGATTACTGCAGGTCTCCACTGCCTATTTCTACTGATCACAGCATGTTGCCAGAGATCACAGGAGTCAAACTTTGCTCCATTCGTACAATACGTGGTGAGTATCCTTTCCCAAACCCGTTGGTTCTCATTTGGTCTCTGCTTGTAAGCACCCAGCTGTGGATGTTCTCCTTTACATCCACAAAACCAGTCAGTATAAGATCAGGTGGGGAAACTGAACCCAGAGTCTCCCCGGTGTGTAAAAGAGATGGAGAAATCCAGGAACTGGGCTCTTCTTGCTTCCCAGTCTTAAAGCCTCTGCAGAAAGAACTGAGCAAAACTTCTGGTTTCTCACTTGTGTTCGTCTGCAAGGGATTCAAATTGCTGTCCCTGGAGCTAAGTCTCCATGGTACTGGATGGGATTCATCCATCCTATGAGAGAGAGAAGCCTAATAAGTCAACAGAAGTATCTCAGACAAGGAGGTGCTTACAGGTAGGTGACAGGAGTCTCACCACCATCTTCACCATAAGAAATGAGTACACATGAGCAAAATGTCTCTCCTGGGTGACTTGTGTTTAGGTGTTGCACTTGGACTCAGACTTTACTTCCATTTCCCACTTTTTTAATAACACTCACATACCCTTTTTGCTTCATCAATACCGTGAATTATGGAAATCTGTTTTGTGCTTCATCCTGTGTATGGGTTTGGTAACAGACAGCTTCTGCACAAATAGTCCCTAACTTGAAATGACAAAAGAGCAACAGACAAACAAAGGGACTGAACAAAAGGAAGTTGATGTAGTCTGGTAAAGAAAACTAGTCTGCAAATCTACCAACTCTTGGTCTATCATGATTATTATTAGATCAGAAAATAATTTTTTTGTTTTCTACATTATGAAACCTCTCAAGCCAAAACAGATTCTAACATCTATATTCATCCCCTAGCACCACAGGGGGCTCAGTTCCGATGGACTGACCAGAACACAATGTGGTCTTTTGAGCAGGTTGAAAAAAGGCAAGGGGAGGTGAAGAGTGCGAACTCCTTGAGCTGTTTCTACCACCATCCCCTGTCCTGGCAAACCAATATATAACTGGTTCCAGCAGCCCCATCTGCCCTTTGGCAGATGTCTAATAGTGACCTAGTATCTTGTTTGCTCTGTTTTTTTCAAACTGTCTCTAGTGCAGCACTTAGACATTTTCATGAAAAGAGTAACACTTTATTTTTTAGTACCATTGATCCACAGTTGATCCTGCAATCACACCTTAATGGTGTGAAATATGTGCAGTATTTAATGGCATAGCAGTACCCGGTGGTTGTTTGGAAGGATAAATAAAAAAGAAAACTGTTGAAATCAAACACGGGGGAAGAAGTGGATCATAGTGGGCTTTCTGTAACTTTTGCATCTAACCTCTAAGGTGAAAGGTAGTACCCCCAGCAGTGCAAAAATGCCAGTGCACCTTGGGTTCTTCACGGCCAGCGCAGCTGCGATACGAAGCCCAGCTCTAATCACACGCCAGATGGTTCCTTTATGTAAAGAGATGACTTAAGGGTTGCCAAGCTATTCACCCTTTCTGTAAATAAAGATTTCATTAGGACTCAAGAAACTGGCAAAGCTGCAAATTTCCTGCCTGCGTCTTTGCTTGTTCCTTAGCCTTTCTCGCTAACTGTGGTGCCAGTGTATTTTTAGGGCACGATTAAAAAAATAAGATGGTCTGCATCGTACTTGGCTGCACCCTGCGTGAACCCAGTCATACTGAAACTGTGCCACCACTGCCCTGGTCAAATGTGTGCTACTGGTAGCCCACAAAGTAGCTGAGCTGACACCTGAGCTGGAGCCAAGACATTTCAATCGCCTCTCTGCTCCTGCTCAGGCTGGTTTTGCTGCTGCAGAGCTGGAAGCTGGGAGCAAAGAGGGGACCGAAGGGTACTGCGAGTTCGCTTTGTGGATCCAAAGGCTGAGCGGCCAAGTCGCCCCAGCAGTCGGCGAGGCTGGACCAGGGCTGAGAGCACGGCATCAGCCCCATCGCTGGGTCGCAGCTCAGATGCAGAACTGCTGCTAAGCTGAGACAACTGCCTTGCAGAGATATGCGAACAGACACCTGCAAATTCAGTACCTCCCTCAGCTGGTGTTTAACATTTCCTTGCTTGGAAGATATACGTATTCTATTTAAAAAGGAAAAGGGGGGTGGGGAGGGGCAAAGATTGGTGGAGGGAAAGAAATATCTATGCCGGTATTTCTTCACTAATCCTTTCATGCCAACAACAGCAGCTAAAGCTTTGCTTTGTTTTTTTTCACAGTTTCACTCTCTTTTTTTTTTTTTTTGTTCCACAGATTGACACTGCGCTAGGAGAGGAAAGCTTCCAGTCAGACATGCAAAGGCAGAAGCGAAACAGTACGTACACAAATGTATGGTAACAGAGCAGGTTTCTAGTAAGCCAAGGGTGAAATCACCACTGGGAACAGCATCTCTTGAGGTACTGAACTGTGTTCATCAAGGGGGAGTAGCTGTTGTGGTTTAACCCCAGCCAGCAGCTAAGCACCACCCAGCTGCTCGCTTGCTCTCCCCCAGTGGGATGAGGGACAGAATCAAAAGGGTAGAAGTGAGAAAACTCGTGGGTTGAGATAAAGACAGTTTAATTGGTAAAGCGAAACAAAGAATTTATTCACTATTTCCCATCGGCAGGCAGGCGTTCAGCCCTCTCCAGGAAAGCAGGGCTCCATCACACATAATGGTTACTTGGGAAGACAAATGCTACAACTCTGAATGTCCTCCCCTTCCTTCTTCTTCCCCCAGCTTTTATTGCTGAGTGTGATGTCATATGGTGTAGACGTCATGCTCCAGGTCACACGGTGTGTGACATCATTATTGGTCAGTTGGGGTCAACTGTCCCGGCTGTGTCCCTTTCCAGCTCCTTGTGCAGCCCCAGCCTACTTACTGGGAGGAGAGAGTGGGAAAAAGACAAAGCCTTGATGCTATGTAAGCACTGTTCAGCAATAACTAGAACATTGTGTTATCAACACTGCTTTCATCACAAATCCAAAACGTAGCCCCATACAAGCTACTATGAAGAAATTTAACTCTACCCCAGACAAAGCCAGTACCAGTAGTAAAGGCACAAACAAAAGAGGTGGAAACTTCTCTCTGGTGAGAGACTGACATGTGGAAGCACAGTATCTATGCAAGATGACATACATGGTGTAGAAAAAAAACCCAATCCTCTTAGCCGGACAGGGGTCAAAAGATAATCCTGTATGGCTTCAGTCACTGGTTGATGACCCATCCACTGGCTGAGTCAAAGGAGAGAAAGGATGAGACAGCTTTTCTCTGTATATGTTATGCCATTTATATCAGCTTCCTATTGCTCTGAGACCAGGGAGATCTGGCTTTTGTCAGACAAACAGCAGATAAACCATGTGCATAATATCTGCTGAGTAGGAATCAAGATTTCCTAAGCAGAAAGTCACACTATTCTAATGTTAGACAGCAACAGAGCCCAAATGCCGAAATGGAAGCCATGCATTTATGAGTCACCCTCACACACAGCTTTGCAGTCTCATGGTATTTCTCTTTCAGTGCTTGTTTTTGACCTTCCCCCTATGGAGTACACCGCTGACATTGAAGTAAGCCTTACGGATTCATCTTTCCTGGAGCCAGTGAAAGAGTATTTCAAAAACCTTAATCTTCCAGTTTTAACAAATATTTCAAATGCAGAAATGAGAATTTCAAATGTCAGTGTTACAACAGGTGGGTTGGTTACTTATTTTTATATTCTGGGTGACATGCTTTTTTTGTCAGTATTTGATCTCTCCCAGTTTTACCATCCCTCCCGCTTAGAAATCAGCAAAACTGAACTGGTCTCTGCTGCCTACTGCAAGACCCAACAAGACTGAAGCTCTAGCACACAACAGCACGTTTTGTTATCTGCATCCCACCATTCCTCTGTGTATAATGTTGGCATTAGGAATAGCCCTGAATGCTTTTCTTTTCCTAAGGAAGGGACAGAGCCAGAGGAAGCCTGAGCCAAAGGATTTTGCTCCAGTTTTACTAACAAGCAGCCTGAGTTACTTTCAAGTTTCAGGAAGCTGTGACAGCAGTTATCAGACTGTTTACTTCCCTCCACTTGGATTTGGAACGTAGATGGCTGTAAGAGGCTGTACTCTGACCCTGACAGAGACAGGCTGCATGAGATGCAGTCTTTTCCTGATTTAACTCACCAAAACGTATTCTTACAGGGCAAGATGTCAGATAGGTTTTATTACCCAAGTCGTGGTTGCGCAACATCACATCCGAGTAGCTAATACAGTGAAGGGTATAGAAACACACTGAGCGTTTACAGCAGTAGAGGAGGAGATTTGGTACCTTCTTATCACTGTCCCATAAAGCAGTGAAAGGAAATGTTCATCCGTTCTCAAAACAACATGCAAACGGATCTTTTAAAGGCCTTCAGGGTCGCATGCAATGTGTGAAAATCACTTTGTTAATATCTCACTTTGCCAATGGCACATTAAGAGCAGAAGAACTTACCGTGAAGTGTTTTGGGGTGTTTTTTATGAGTGACAATGTATGTCTTTAAAGCAGTTTGTGATGATGTCACCTTCTCTCGTTCAGCGTCTGTCAGGATACAGTCAGAATAACACAACACCTCACTAGCCACCGGGACTTTGAATGACCATTACATGCTCTTACAATCTTTAAAAGCCTCTACCTTTGCTTTCAGCCTAGACCATACAGAAAGATCCATTCTGAAAACTATCACAGGAGCCTGGCCAATATGCCAGGTAAATATTGAGGATCAGGCTTCACATCTCAATTCAGTTACTTTGAAGTAATTGATCAGACTTATCCTTGTACCAGTCCGGTTCCTATTTCTCGTTAGTTGTTTATGATTAGTATAGCAAGATTTGTAAGGTGTCAGATCGTGGTGTTTGCACCATTCAAGTGAACTCACAAGGAGAGCAACATTTAATTGAGATCACTGACATAAAGATACAGCAGGGTAAATATACATCATGCAATACATTACGTCCCATTTACCATTCTCATAGTATTTCTCTCTCTGTCCGACACCAGTCTGTCTACCCAGTGGTGAGAACACCAGCTGTTGTTCTTGCGAAAATGGATATGCCTGGCCAAGTGAGGTGCACAGTGACTTGATAATCTGCCCTTCTGCCATCTTAGCACCCAGCCTGCCCTGCAGCTACATGAGGGAAATGCCTCTTGACAAGCCTTACTGTAAGCCTGAGATTGAAGGTAAGGAGAAACAGTGCTGAACTTCATCATATACTGGTTAGAAGATGGAACAGTGTTAAAGGTGTGATAAAGCAGCACATCAGGACTGAACTGGCTACCACATTGCCTATGAATGTGGAAAGTCTGTAGAGATGGTCTAGAGCTCTTCTCTTAGTGATGTGGGTCCACCTTGACCCAAATGCTTGCAGATATTTAGTGCCTTGCTGGAGCCCCAGCTCCTGGAATCACTGAGGGTTTTTCCATTTACTTTGGTGAAACATAGGTGGAGATTCATCCTGTGTAACTTTCATGATGTAAAACCTAAGTATCTGATCAAAGTTATTCATCCAAACTCTCTACAACTGGAGCAATGTAGAATTTTAACCACTGTAGGAAAGCTGTCTATCACCTTCTGAATGTATCATCTTTTGAAAGTGGCTCCAGCTTTGCATCAACTGGACTAGAGTCTAGATATCTAGCAGTTGCCAGGCATCTAAATTAGTTACAGAAAATTAGGAGAATCTCAACTTTCCTATTATGCAGATGAATCTTGACAAGTTGTAAGATTTTGGTTTAGGATTAGGATGGCATCACCAAGGGCAAATTGTGCCTGACCACTCTAGTGGTCTTATAGGATGGAGTGGCTGCATCAGTGGACAAGGGAAAAGCTACAGTTGTCATCTACCTAGACTTCTGTAAGGCCTTTGATACAATCCCGCATAACATTCTTGCTGCTAAATTAGAGGGATATGGGTTTGACAGATGGACTGTTAGATGGATAAAGAACTGATTGGATGGCCACATCCAAAGAGTTATAGTCAGTGGCTCAAATGCCCAAGTGGAAGCCAGTAACAAGTGATGTCCTTAAGGATCTGTACTATTTAATATCTTCATCAATGACATAGACATTGGAATTGAGCGCACCCTCATCAAGTTTGCAGATGACACCAAGATGAATGGTGCACTTGATTCACTAGATGGAAGGGATGTCATCCAGATGGACCTTGGCCACTCGAGGAGTAGGCCTGTGTGAATCTCGTTAATTTCAACAAGGCCAAGTGCAAGGTACTACACCTGGGTCAGGGCAATCCTCAATATCAATACAGGCTGGGAGCTGAAGGGATTGACAGCAGCCCTGCCCAGAAGGACTTGGAAATACTGACAGATGAAAACTGGACATGACCCAACAATGTGCACTCACAGCCTAGAAAGCCAACCGTATCCTGGGCTGCGTAACAAGTGTGGCCAGCAGGTTGAGGGAACTGATTCTGCCCCTCTACTCTGCTCTGGTGAGACCCCACCTGGAGTACTGCAGCTCTGGAGTCCTCAGCACAAGACATGGAACTGTTGGAGTGGATCCAGAGGAGGGCCACGAAGATGATCAGAGGGTTGGAGCACCTCTGCTGTGAGCACAGGCTGAGAGAGTTGGGATTGTTCAGCCTGGAGAAGACAAGGCTCTGGGGGGACTATCAATGCTTAAAGGAGGCTTATAAGAAAGACAGAGAAAGGCTTTTTTACCAGAGCCTGTAGAGACAGGACGAGGGGCAACAGTTTTAAACTGAAAGAGGGTAGATTTGGATTAGACATAAGGAAGAAATTTTTTACTGTGAGGGTGGTGAGCCACTGGCACAGGCTGCCCAGAGAAGTTGTGGATATTCCATCACTGGAAGTGTTCAAGGTCAGGTAGGATGTCCCTGCCCATGGCAGAGGGGTTGGACTGGCTGTTCTTTAAAGGTCCCTTCCAACCCAAACCATTACACGATTCTATGATTCTATAATTAAGTTGGAATTAAAAGCTAAGAAACCAGTTTGTAAGCATTGCTTTAGATTATTTTTACATTTACTTTTATGTTTTTCCTTACAGATTCATGTGATATGGGAGAGCCCATTGTAATGGATATGTCAGTCAGACTCGACACAGTCTTTTTGGAAGATCTCAGTAATTCTTCTTCTGAATTGTACAAAAAATACAAAGCTGACCTTGAAATAGCGGTAATTACTTTATTTTTCCAGCTCTGCAGATAGAAAGCCCTCTAAGAAATATGGTATTTACCCTAAGTGTCTGGGGAAGTAGGGTACACTGTCACTGTCTCTGTGGGGAGCTGTGAAACACGCAGCAGTGGTAGCTGCGAAGTGGGCCAAAGCTGATCTCCATTGAAAGGCAATGGCAATATTCCCATTCGTTTTAATATGCTGGCTGACAGGGAAGTCTTTAGGAACCTTTGCATCAAAAACATGAAAAAAAATTGCATTATTAGTCGCAGCTTAAATCCACATGAGTAAACATAGAATGAAACCATCAACGCAAATCTATCCCATGACAGTGGGAAGAGCACCAGCCCAGTTCTGTCAGCTATGCTACATGCCCTTACATCAGTGCTGAATTGAGAGTTTCCTATTTTGAGCACACTAGAATAATATAGAGAGGACTTCCGTCATGTAATATGTCTCTGTTTACAGTTTAATGCTGGCTACAGATGTTTACCGGGCTTTGTATCGGCAACAGTAACTGGTTTCAGGTAAGTAGACAAATTCGTTTTTTCCTGGAAGACACAAATCTTTCTGTCCAGTCTCAAGGAGACACAGGTCAGCAAAGACTGCATTCACGCTGCCTAGAACCCACGCCCAGCGTATACAGACTGAATAACAGTATAATAGCCGCAAAGGAAAGCCCAACTATTAGCATGGAAATAGGATCGTGGGTTAAGTTCACTACTGTGCCAAAGTCCAAGAAACATAGTTATTCTCCATCTGGATCCAAGCCTTTTGTGGGAAAGACTGAATTCCACCCAAAAGAGGAAAAGGATGCAAGTAAACCTAACATCATCTCCCAGGTCATCAGAAAGATGAATTAGTACATTGACCCTGGATGCAACATTGTGTCTGGATAAAAGAGACGTTGCTTAAGTCCAAACACATTTAAATGCAGCTGTATTTTAGGTTTTCTAAGGGAAGTTTACTAGAAATAGACAGCAGACGAAGGAGATGTCACATGAATGTGTTCTTACTTAGGGAAAAGCTGTCGCACAACCTTCTTGTTTACCAAAGCAAGTCAAGTCACAACAGAAGCCTTCACAGGTGAGCCCTGTGAAGCCTTCCAAGCCATGCAAGATGGGCCATCACAACATAAAAATCCACCAGCGTGCAAGGATATTTAATTCTGGTGCTTCTCTTGTTCTTGTATCTGTTTAGGCTTGGAAGCGTTTTTGTGAACTACGAAGTAAAAGCAGGAGCAGCAAACTTCAATCAGATAGCAAGTTCCAACAGAATCATACCACAATTTCTAAATCCATTGTACCAGCTAAACCAAACTACCTTCACAACAAAAATAGTTGGTAAGTTTAAGGGTTTCTTAGTATTTTCCTTCAACCTTTACTTTAGTATTTCTAGCCTGAACCACGTAGCTGCCTTATACCGTTGATTATTTGGTACCAGGCCTTCAAAAAACATTTATTTCTCTGGCTGGTTCATTTCATCCTGTGCCACCAAAGCTTAGAACTTACATGAGATGACCATGCATGCAGTACCTCTCACAGAAAACCAAATCCTTCCGGCTGCTCCACTGAACCCTGGTGCAGTCTCTGCATGGGAGAGAGATGGAATACCCTTGAGTTCACATCCAGAACTGAGACAGCTCTTAGTATTGTAGGCTGCCAGCACTTCCCACTTCTTCAGACAAAACCATAAACCTTTTGCAATTTACATGAGAACAAGTTGCCTCTGGCTTCCTCGGCATATTTTCCACGCTGCTGCTGGACAGTGTGTCACAATTCAGTTGCCTGATCAAGTGCCCCAGAGGTGATGTACTCTGAGCACTGGACTGTCTGTCTCAGAGGATTACTTTAACCTTGTTGCTTCTCCTCCCAATTTATCTAATTAGAAAGTAGTGGTAGTGCTAATATTTCTGGATCTCTGCATAAAACCTTCTGGGATCTTTGGTGGACAGTGATGGTAGAATATGTTGTGGGAAAATTGCATGGCTTTTGTCAGAGGTGGTGCCCTGCCACTGATGCTGAGTGAAGCACCTGGGATTCCCATAAGATGAAAGGCACCATATAGACATGAGCTGAAATTACAATAATGCAGAATGTTCCTCTTTGTCTTCCCAGATCAGACGAACTTCACTGTGAGTCCTGAAGACATTTTTGAAGGAGACACAGTAAGACTGACTTGTGAGATAAATTCAACATCTGAGAATGTGACCTGGTATCACTTAGGTCAGATCATCTCAACCAACTCCCTAAATTTCAAGGGCAGCAAAACCTCAAGGTCGACTCTTGAAGTTGCCAATATAAAGATGAATGATTCTGGTATGATTTTCTGTTGTTAAAACAACAGATGTAAATCTCTACTGTGGCTAGTTCTATAAAAAGCAGAGAGGTGTGCAGTGACTGCATTTTCCTAGAGTAAATGTGAAAAATACACTGTCCCCCATAGTTTTCATGTTTGATTTGGGTTTTGGTTTTTTTCTTTAATGAACTACATACTGACTGGCATTGCCAGTAAGATGTGAACTGACTGAAGTGACTACACAGGCCAGGGTATTCTCAGTGCCAGGCTTCACTGCCATATCACAGGAGACCACGGTGACTACATGACTGTGAGGCCTTCCCACCCTTTTGGTGTGATAACTTGAGGCTGTGGTTGAATTTGTCCTTGACGGCCCTTGCCCCCTTTGCAAACATAACCTACCTAATCAGAGCTCGGAATACCAGTTTTTCATGTGTTTGTGTTTAGGGCTTATTGAAAGTCAGAAACAGTGGCATTTGGCTGGGAGGAGTTATCAGGGGTGTTATCATGTATTATCTGAGCTTTGACTCAAGCTCCCACTCAGTTAGGACCATGAATTTTACATTCAACTTCAAAAAGGGTAGCCTGTGACCAGGTATTTGGGCACGTTTATGGGAGGCAGAAGTTGTGGGTCCAAACTTCTTTGGCCTAAGGGTGCCCTGAACCTTGGTGTCTCCACTCCTGCAAAAGTGTCCTACCCATCTGACGATCCTAATGGGGAAGGGGAACCCCATTGTATCTGAATTATGAGGGAAGTTTGGAGCTCTGATTACCAATTTCAAAAGGAAGCCCGACTGCATCCAGGGGACAAGTGCCTGAGAAAGTGGTTGATAAATACTCCACTGCCTTTGGCAATACCTTCTCAGCAGCATATGTGCCTACACTGAGTGACATTTCTTGTGGAGTCCTCTCACCCACCTCTCACCTGGGCACCTCTCTCACCCATTCTGTGTAGGAACCTTTTGCACAGTCAGTCTACATTCTTACCATGATATATTGCTGCCACGTGAACTATGGGTAATATACAGATCCCCAACACACCAACTCAGCCAGATTTTAAGTATGAGGGTATGTTTTGATTAGCCAGAGCCACTGCAGAGCAGGGAGATGCGAAAACTAGGTGTGGAAGTAGCTCCCAGCTCCTAACTCCACACGTAGAGGAAAAAACAGTAAAATACATTCTCCTTGCTAAGATATTACCTATTCTTTACAGGTTCCTATACGTGCACTTTCACAAAGAGCAATCGGTTTCACACGCTGATATACAACGCCACGAAAACAGTAGCAGTCTCTCCGTTAAACATCACCACAAAAGGAAATGACATCGATGTTACATGCAACAGTCCTGAAATGCAGACAAATGGTCTTCTGCTGTCCTGTTGTATTGACAAACACTTACCATCACTCACTGGTGACTGGAAAGTAAATGGAGCAATCAATATTACAGGTAAGATTAACAAAAGATTGTCTTTCACCTGCTAGGTTTGTTTGTTCTTCAAAGATCTCCTCCTAACTGGCTCCCCCAAAAGCCAAGCCATAGCGTGAATACAGGGTATGCTCTA